CTAGGAATCAGAGTTATTTCTGGACTGTAGGAACAGTTTGAAAACCATTAGTTTAAAACTTAGAAGGGGTGAACAATGTTGGATGGACTAACTAGTAGCCTGTTGGTTGTCTCCCAAACCAGAAAAAGAAGCCAGGAGAAAATGGTAAGGTGCTTTCTGGCAGCTTTCCTGACTTACTGTATTTTTTCATGTATAAAATGACACTTTTTCCTAAAATAATTAAAGGAAAAATTGAGGTTTGTTTTATACTCAGAAGTAAGCAAGGCACTTTGGTCCCTGCTTTCCCCCTCCACGTTTTGCAAAGAAAATGGAGGGAGAAAGTGATTCCTACTTTCCCCCTACATTTTCATTGCAAAATGTTTGCAACGAAAATGTAGGTGGAAAGCAGGAATCACTTTCCCCCTACACTTTCTTTGCATAACATGGAGGGGGAAAGCTGCTTTTTGCAACGAAAATTCAAAGAAAGAAATTTTGGGTTTAAAAAAATGGGGGTGTCTTATACATGGGGCCTCTTGTACACTGAAAAATACCGTATGTGCAGCTTTTAATGTTTATTCTAACTTCTTTTAATTTATATAATTGTCAAACTTTGCTTGAAGTCTTTTTTTTTTCATCATTGGGTTTGTGAGCGTTTTTGGTTAGCACACACACCCTTTTCTGTTCCTCCCACAATACCAATTCAGACTTCATCTCTTACTTCAGACCATTAACATCTATTCACATGTGTACAACAGGGAGCTCCCCCACAGTCTTAGTATCAACGGGGAGAGGGAAGGGTTCCAGGGACTCCCTCCCCCAGCAGCTCTTCCCTTTGTCTTCTAACCTAGGTGCTTCCCTGCTTAACTTTCAATGCGAGGCATGGACCCTTCTGGCAACAGCGCCTGCAGCAGGGGCACCAACCCTTTTGCTCACCATTCTTCTCTTTCCTCTTGTCTGCTTTCTTGTTGGCACTAAGCCCACCTGCCCCGACTCTGTCCATATTAGGATTAAGGGTTCCATGTTCTTCCCTTTCTGACCTGCCTACCATCTCTCTCTCTCTCTCTCTCTCGTCCAAGAGTTCCCCAGCTCTCTCCATTCCCCACTGCCTCGCTTCCCTCTGTTCCTCCTTTGTATAGTTGTCCTTCTCCCTCTTCATCCTCTCCCTTTTCTTCCTCTCTTTTCCTGCCTTTTTCTCCAGAGTTGGTTTTTTGTTTGCTTCCTCATCTCTTGTTTTTCCCCTGCCTCCTGGTTCTGGGGGGTGGGGTGGGGGCTTCCCTTTTCCAAGGCAGAGAGGCCAGCGTGTAGATGGGAGAGCGTCTCCTCCCATCCCCTTTCTCACACAGTTGTACTCCTATTTTTTTTCTTTTTTTAAGGGAGGGAGGTTTAGAGAGGCACAAAACAGGCTAGGAAGGCTCCAGTACAGAGCTTCCCCATCAGCCTATTCATGCTAAATGATGAACCACTAAATTCCAGGCCCTTTCACTTTCAACATTTCATCTCCAGATAGTCACATGCTCCACTTTTCAGCCAGTGTGGTCGAAGAACAGAAGCAAAGACACCAACCCCTGTTACTTTTGCTGTCTTTCAACAGCTTGCTTCCCTGTGCTACAGTACTTAGTAGGTAGATTGCTTTTTCAACAACCTAGGATCTTGGTATTTCAGAGATTTCTTTTTCTGTCAATAGATGTCCACACATTAATGAGCAGTCCAACATACTATATCAGGGATAAGGAATTTTGGCTTTTGTTGTGTGCCAGCAGGAACTAACAAATACTGATTTTCTCATCCTTGATGAAGAAAAGGTGCCTTGAGACATTAAAGCTCCTAATCCAAATAATAGGCAAGTGCTGTGAGACTTTCTTTTCTATTTGAGAGTGAAAAGATCAGCAATTTGTATAGGCAGCAGCAATAGCAAAACCCAAACTAACCCTAGCTTTTGTGCAAAATAAAACCCAACAGTGAATTCAGGGGTGTAAATGCAGAAAATTCTTGCAATCTCCTCCAATGGAGAGAAAACTTTTTATTCATTGTTGTTGTGGTCACCTACAAGAGTAAAATAAGCAAAGATTCAGTAGCATAAGTACATATGAATTTCATTTTCCCCCTAAAAGAAGAGTGTGTCAGAAATATGGACCTTGCTTTTATAGAAGAACTACACTTCCTAGATGCTTCCCATGCAATTTGTTTTATGGAGATAAAAAGCCACTTTCAGAGGACTTCTGAGAAAATATTAAACTATGGCTTATTAGAGAGAAGGATTGCGTGCTGTTCGTAGGTCACATGTTTCCCTCTCTGGCACTGTGCTGAGACAAATGAGAAGAACCATCTCACTTCTGAGCCTGATTGGTATGACGAGCATGGGCTTCTTTACGGCCTCGTGTTAAAGACTGGCTGTTCACCCAGACTTTAGGGATCTTAAGTGTAATCATGACTCGGTTTGGGCTGCTGAGTTGGTATGTTTTATATTTTGGTGGTTTTGACATCGTATTACTTTGTTTGTTGACTGTTGAATTATTTGATCTAGTTGAGATTGTTTTAAGATTGTTCTGCTGGCTGTACCCCAGTTCTTGAGGTCTTTAAATTCAGCATAGAGTGGAAATGGTCTAACAAGCTTAAGTGACATAATAAATCTTGATTCCAGTGACCTTTAAGTGGTCAGTAGGAAAGAAAACAGAAGGAGAAGTCCTCTTGTAGACATTCACTCAGTTATTTGGGAGGATGTTTGTATACATGTGTGCAATTCTCAAAAAGATATAGATCGACACTGATTCTTCACTGCCTACATTTAATAAATAAATGGACTATCTGTTCAAAATCTGAGAATCTTTCTTGTTGGAGTTACTTGTTTCACGTGGCCACATCTGTAGAAGTGCCTAAAAAGAAAATCTGATTAAAACTAATGATGCAGAACAAGAGTAGTGAGGTCATTTTTCTCATAATTCTTTGGAAACATGACACAGTGCATTTTCCTTCCCCTTTCAGTGTTTCCCTGAATATATTTTGCAGCCTTTGAGTTGAATGTGTTTTGTGTTTTTTTCCAGTTCAAATGTTGCTCATTAATTGATGGAAACACACCATTTGGGCATTTGAGGAGCTGCTTAGGCATGAAAGGCAGCTCTCCATAATAACTTGTTGTCACAGGTTTTCTGCTTCTTCTACCTCTGATTCAGTTCACCTAGCATCTTCCAGTTGTGGGTGCTACCTGTTGCAGAACTGCCAAATATTTACACTAATAATTTATACCATTCTGCTGGATTGCTCAGTGGTTTAGGCACCTGGCTGCAGAGCCAGAGGTTGGGAGTTCAATTCCCCATTGGGCCTTCTGGATAGGGACTGGACTTGATGATCCACAGGGTCCCTTCCAGCTCTGCAATTCTCACATTGTATCTCTTCTATATCAGTGTTGGGACTTGTGCATGAAAAGGCATGGTTGTGAGCACACAAAGAAGAATCCATGTGTTGCATACACAATATGATTCATGTTCTGTGATTATGGAAAAATGTACCACTGGGTCTGGCTCACAGACTTCGAAATGTGTCCAGATATGCTCATCCTTAAAGCCATTGACCTTAGTCCTCTTCATCAAGTTTGTGTATAGCCATAAGTTGTGCATGCGACTGTGCATTTTCTGGGCTTTAACAAGAAAATGTCTGGGACCTTCTTGTGCAAGCATAAGTACTGTTCAGTGCAATAGCATACTCCCTAGCTTGTATAATAGTGAACCAGAGATTGGGCAGAGCATAAAGTTAGTGCACTAGAATTTACTGGCCATGGAAGCCAATTGGATTTAAGTTAGTTATTACTAACTTGTATTCCAGTGATTTCAGTGGATCTACCTTCATGATGACTAAGTTTTTATGTGCAAAGATGTCAGTGCATAAGAATGTGTGAATACATCAATCCTTAGTATAATAAACATATAGCAACATTGTAAATATTGTATCTTTTATCTTTAAATATTGTATCAACATTTTAGACTTGTATCTTTTACTGTGTCCACTACCTTCAACATTTAAGAAAAATGAGTGCCCTTGATTCATCAAGGTACTGTAGTGCTTTTTTCTCTATGCTGCCTTGTTTCTTAGATAAAGTTTGGGGAGAAAGGAATGAAGCTTGTGAAATAGCATTTTATGGTTCTGAGTGCATGTGTGTCCAGTGCTTTCAAGTTGAACAGTGGACCTAAAAATAATTAGCACATTCCAGACAAACTATTCTCCTTGAAGATTATTCTCTCCCACCTTTAACTATACAAAAAGGGGAAGGGAAATGACATGTTGAGCTGTGATGTGGCAATAAAAGAATGGTTCCCATTTCTAATGTTTAGAAAATGAACTCAACTCTTTATCCCAGTTTCATGGAAAATACACTTTTTTGATGTATCAAGGATTTATGTGCTTGTAATGTGGTTGCAGTGGGTGTTTTTAAGTAAAGGTTAATTTTCTGCTAACATAATTGAATAGTTATTAAGTTATTAACTTACCATTTATTGTTTTCAAGAATGAAAATAAAACCAAGATACACATTTCCTATGGTGTGTTGACCGTGCGGCATTTAATCTTGAGTGGTCTGGCATGTCTGCACATTTGATTATAAAACTTTCTATGAAACACTCAGATTAATAGTAGTGTAACTTTTGGGGGGGGCTTTGGTAACAATTATAGAGATAAAGCCTGGAAATAAAGGGATATGGCTTTCCTGTAGTAGTATCCATTCCATGGATTCCATTTTTTAGGAAAGCTTGCCAGGTCTGTTTATTATTTGTGATCTTGGAAGATATTCAGCTTATCTGCCGAGTTTTGCCTGCACCTTATTTGGAATACAAGTGGTATTTGAATATTTTATTCAATTATTCAGGGTTTGTGTGTGTTAATTCTGTTTTTGTGGATTTTGTTGAGACACAAAGCGATTGCAAACAGAAAATGGGAGTAAAATCCTATCTGTGCCATTGAGTTTTGAGAAAAAAGCATGAAATACAAATGTGATAATACATGGAAAAATAAAGTATTTTTCTGATTTCCAGGTGCTTTTATAATCTGCTGGACTCCAGGATTAGTTTTGTTGCTCCTTGATGTTTGCTGCCCACAATGCAACGTTCTGGCGTATGAGAAGTTCTTCTTGTTGCTTGCTGAGTTCAATTCTGCCATGAACCCCATCATCTACTCCTACCGGGACAAGGAAATGAGTGCCACCTTCAAGCAAATTCTTTGCTGTCAACGCACAGAAAGTGCTAATGGCCCCACAGAAGGCTCTGACCGGTCTGCCTCCTCACTCAATCACACCATCTTGACTGGAGTACACAGTAATGATCACTCCGTGGTTTGAAGAGGAACTGAAAGATTTTTTTTTCAAAAAGAAAAAAAAATCATTTTAAGCCCACACATCAGAATTTAGTGTTGGGCTGATAACTAGTTACGAAACTGTTGACAACATTACTTGGGGGTAGGGTCAGAGTCTCTGAAGCAAAGAAAAATAATAAACTTACAAGCTCTTCTTTAATCACTAATGGATGATAGTAGTACTTATTCACCAGTGCCCAGACCACAAAACTATCCAAACTAAAACCTCATTCTCTCTCTCTCTCCCTCTCCCCCTCTCCCTCTCCTTACCCCCCCCCTTCATCTCTTTTCTGAAATTAGAGAATTACCTGCTCACATTGGAAAGCTGACAAACCTCTTGGGGAACCATTTTATGCTTCTTTAATTGGTTTTCCTCAGATACTTGTGTGATGGTCCTAACTGAAGTCATCCTCAATTACATAAGCTTAAAAACTGCTTCACTACTTCTTCATTTAGACACTTAGGCTTTTTCCTCACCTGTGGTTTTTTAAAGACTACATTTCATGTTAATAATTATCCTCATCAGCATGCTTTGCGATGGACGTTTGAGGGGCAAGAAAACAACATGTTGTAACCTTCAGTTTTATTTACACTTCCAGGAACAATGAAAAGCGTTTTTTTACTAGTACAGATGTCAAGATATTGGTGGGAAATGTTTGTCTTTACCTTGCTTGAGGACACTGTTGGGTATAATTCTCACCCTTCAACCAGTGAGACATAAAAATTATGTCTGGCTGTAATCCTCATGAGACCTTTAACTTTCTTAAGTAAACAGCAGAACACACACTGTTTCATAGAAAGGAAGCTCTCATTTTTTCATGGATCCTCAACGTAGGATATAAAGCTCTAGAAGAGGTACCTTTAACATTGGTTAAGATGAAACACAATAATTTGTGTTTTAATGCATATTTGTAGCATTGAGTCTTCTGATTTGGGCTTTTTGATCTTAAAAAGTATGCCTTTAAAAAGGGAAATAAGATTTTTTTTTAAAAAAAGTGTGTTCTTTTATACCAAGTGGGATATTTTTCTTCTTAGTTTTTCATGTGAAGTGGAGAATCTTTGCCTAGTGGCAAAGTTTGATATCACACCTTACTCAGAAACCAATGGCAGGGCAGATTTTTCCAGTTTCATGCAGGGGTGCCTCACTGTGGGCTATGCGAGGCACCACTGTATGCCTTTAAAAAGGAAAATAAGATTTTTTTTTAAAAAAAAATTGTGTTCTTTTATACCAAGTGGGATATTTTTCTTCTTAGCTTTTCATGTGGAGTGGAGAATCTTTGCCTAGTGGCAAAGTTTGATATCACACCTTACTCAGAAACCAATGGCAGGGCAGATTTTTCCAGTTTCATGCAGGGGTGCCTCACTGTGGCCAATGGTATATACAGCGAAGTCAAAGTTCTCCGCCATATCTTTTGTATCAGATGCTGCTGCCTCTCTGTCAGGAGGGAGCAGCTTTTAAAATGTTCAGAAGGGGAAAAAAGAAGGAGAAGGTTCTGCCTGAAACCAAATGAACTGCCCTAAGTAAAACACTAGTTCCAATCTGTTACCTCAAAATGGGGGTGCAAATATGGAGCACCATATGGAAAACAATTTCTAATTTTTGTTGTTGTCCAACTGCTAGGGTTATTTTTTTTCTTGTAGTCGATCACATAATTCATCATCACAATTAAAATATGCCAAGTAATCCATTATTGGCTAAACCATCAATATTTGGGGAAATGGCTTTAAATTAAATCCCTTGGTTGTCGTTTTTTTTAAGGCTATACTTTAAAAGCCATCATCATAAGTGGCAAACTCTTGATGGAGAGTAAACATGAAGGCCATAATGATAGCAGAATATATACATGTATTTAAACTGGGACCATTGTACTAATTGTGGAGTGTCACACATCAGTGGCAACTTTGCAAGGAGCCTTTTCCATACTGAGAGCTAGCCTTGGCTCAAAGGAACGTCTGCTAGGAATTGATTCGTCATTCTAACTCTGTGGAATGATGGAGAACACATTGGAGGCAGTCTTGTGATTTGTATGGGTAGAGTATGTAGATTTTTAAGAATGATGTATAGCAAAGACAAAAAAGTAAGAGTACATATGAGGATAGAATATTTAGTGATATATAGAATGTTTTTGAACGTAAGAAGGAAGTGTGGCTGATCCTACCAGACAATACCGAGAGACCATCTGCCAGTTATCAAAAAAGTTTATGTGACAACAAATATTCTATGAATTCCTTGCTGAAATTAAGATCAGTGAACCCGTTATTCTTTACCTATGTAACTTGCCTAATGAAACAAAAGTGAGGCTGTTAGAAATTTTAAAAGTACCCAACATGCTAAGCCACTAATAAAGTTTTCTCGATGAATATATAATGTTTCGTGTATCCGTACTTGTTGGCATTCATTGGATTGGTAGTGTTCTGGAGAAAATGTTATTACAGCAGTTGGGCTTCCTATATTTTGAGCTTCCTGAAATTTCATCTGCATTATACCCTGTGCAGCTTCCAGTTCTTACTAAGCAAATAAAAGTGTCTTTTTTGCCTGCATAAGCAGTTGCCTTGTTTATAGAGCAGACAAACTACCTTCTGCACTCCTTACCTTTTTACAGTCAACCTGTGTCTGTTTCCAGTCCTCTTGATTCCAGAAAGAAGTCTGAAAGGTAAGAGATTTTGTTTCACCAGAAGTCAGTTAGTTTAGTGTCTTCACTTGGCTGTGTTCCTCCCTGCAGCCTTACGACTCCTATTTTTCATTGTGCCAGCTGCAAAATTCAAGTTTGTACCAAACTATTCAAGTTGCAGATGTGGTTGTGCAAATCCATTTATTTCCTATGCTTGTAATAAAACATATGACCTGATTTTTCCTTCCAGATGAAGACATTCAGAGCAGGCAGGAGTTTATAAAAAAAAAAAAATTCTTGCAATGAAATGCAATATATATATAACAAAGTAATCGCATAGGAAAATTGAAAATAGCATAGAAATGAAAGGTGAACTAAAATAACTTAACCACCAGCATGAAATTAAAAACCTGTTGTTTTTATGTAGAAACCACATCTTAGGGTAGCCGAAACTATTCTGAATGCTAATATGTACTAGAAGTTCTAGTACATTTTATTTTCCTGGGCTCCATGATCACTGCAGATGGAGACAGCAGCCACGAAATTAAAAGACGCCTGCTTCTTGGGAGGAAAGCGATGACAAATCTTGATCGCATCTTAAAAAGCAGAGACATCACCTTGCCAACAAAAGTCTGCATAGTCAAAGCTATGGTTTTTCCTGTCGTGATGTATGGAAGTGAGAGCTGGACCATAAAGAAAGCAGACCGCCGAAGAATTGATGCCTTTGAATTGTGGTGCTGGAGGAGACTCTTGAGAATCCCCCGGACTGCAAGGAGAACAAACCTATCAATTCTAAAGGATATCACCCCTGAGTGCTCAATGGAAGGAGAGATCCTGAAGCTGAGGCTCCAGTACTTTGGCCATCTAATGAGAAGAAAAGACTCCCTGGAAAAGATCCTGATGTTAGGAAAGTGTGATGGCAAGAGGAGAAGGGGACGACCAAGGATGAGATGGCTGGACAGTGTCTGCGAAGCAACCAACATGAATTTGACACAACTCCGGGAGGCAGTAGAAGATAGGAGGGCCTGGCGTGCTCTGGTCCATGGGGTCACGAAGAGTTGGACACGATTAAACGACTAAACGACGACTAGAAGTTCTGGTGTAAGGGCACAGGTACAGTGTTGAATTCAACTGGGAGCTGATTTTTAGAAATCAATATACATTACATGGTTTTTGTGTGCCTCCTCATGGAAGCTGGCTTTCTCCAACCATTGGGAACTCTGCAGAGCTAAGAGCAGTCCCACATTCCAGAGTGGGGGTGTTTCCAGGATGTGGCATCAATCCAGGGAGGAGAGGAGAGCAGGCTCCTGGCAAGCCATGAAGCCACCCATGCTCTGTGGTAGAGGAGGCAGCTTCAGGACTCATAATATATACAGTATGTACATTTTGAACTGGATAGTGATAGATCGATGCAGTGCTAAAATAAAAATGGATAGGATGGAAAAAAGAAAGTATGGACTGCAGGATACTTGGCACACTATTTACTCTGACACAGGTGTTCACACAAGCCAAAATGGGTAAAAAAAATGGTGACCGGAACTGATTTAAAATAAACAACTCCCTTGTGCATGTTTTTTAAAAACCTGCTTTCTCTCCAAAAAATGCACACTCAGCTGCATGTCATGTAGTTGGATATTTTTGCATTGATTTCAAGCAGGGCAAACCCAATGCAAAAACTAGAGTATTATGACATGTAGTTGAGCCCTAAGAGAACTTAGTATTTGTTTTTATTGCAACTATTTCCCCAGGTGTTCTGTAGTATCTTATAAGGTTAACAAACTTAATATGTCACAAACTTTTCTAAGCTATGGTCTATTTCCGTAGATTCCATTTTAAAATATATACAGCAGAGTGCAGTAAGTTCACATCAAGTACAAGAAGCTTACTATTGCCTGTGTAACAGGCATACACCTATAGCCCAGAAAGGAAGAACCTATTTTAACTTCTTGTTGCATGTATACAGAATGGGAAATGTTGCAGCCATTGAATGTATGAAGTAGTTCTAAAATGATCTGAAAAGTTTTAAGGTACACATGTACTACTGTTTACTTCCGAGCTAACCTAGTCATGTACAAAATACTCCCTGCTGAATTTACCACATTGTGTCCCTTCACGTGTGTTGTTAGGTGCCATCAAGACACTTCTGACTTGCAGCAACTCATACAGTGTTTTTGAGGTATCTGTGATGTTCAAGGAGTGGCTCACCATTGCCACCCCCAATGGCTGAGTAGAAATTTGAGCCCAGGTCTTCTGATACTTGTCAGCTACACCACACTGGCTTCCTTAATAAGTGCACAAATATCATTGGGAATATAATTATTTCCATCTTGTGGACATTTCCTTTAAAAAAAATTAAGGGACACATGACTTCTGAGTCAACACTAAAGTTTTATTCATAGGCCAAAACATGCCACATGAACTATTAAAAATGGCACCAGACGGCTAATTTACCTTGACATAAAAACTGGGAAGCCAAAATAAACAGTTGCTGAATAAATCACACCTCATCAAAATGTATCATGATACTTCTGGGGTTTCCAAAAAGGCTGAGCATTTGCTGTTGAAGTTCAGTCATTTATACTGTCCTCTTATTTCACACTGAACAAATAGCTCTTGCAGTGGTGCGATGAACACTGAGCTGCAAAAGCAAATACAGATTCAGGAGAAAACAATTATTTAAACCTAATGTACAGTCTAAAGC